TTTAACCGAGAGAAAGTTGTACAAGTTAGTTGCGCACGCGCAGCGCTGCGAAAGCGGCCGACTGGCAGTATTGTGATATTTTAACAAAAATGTGTAATTTATTTGTCGAACCTTATATTTAATTTTACGTATTTGGATATTTTAATAGTCTAAGTTTTAGGTTTATTTACTTCAAACAAACGTGTATAATGATTTAGAGTCAAAATTTAAAATCATCTCTTTTTTTAAATTGTTTAAATGTAACAAGTAATAATAATTGCATATTTATTTTTGCTACTATATAGGTACCAGAGGGAGACTTTGTACAAAAGTCGATTGCTTGGGCACCTCCGTCCTTTTCATGTTTCAACCGTTCACGGTTGTGCCCAACCGTTCACGGAGGTGCCCAAGCAAAAGACTTTTGTGCATTGTCTCCCTCTGGTAAAGCTATACAATATATGATAAACGAGTAAACTGCACTTTATCCCAGACAAAGTTGTGGGTAAAAACTATCAATTATTACTTAATATGTATAGTTATTGTTTACTATAATTATATTGATTTTTAACGTATGATACCATGTATTCTGTGAAATCAAGCAATGAAAATTAATTGCTTGTTGTTTTTGTTTTTTGAAATTTAAATCGCGAAACAGATCTAGGGACATAATCCAAAACACACAGGAAAAAGGACAGTTAGCAATGGGGTCTAACAGCCCCATTTCTAGCCAATATATTCTACCAAGTAATCTTTTGGAGGAAACAATAAAGAATATCTATCTATCTAAGTTGACCTACATGCATTTCTCCTAGGAAACCATCCTGGTTAATTCTTGTCAAATTCTTCACGATGGACCAACTAATCGGCTTTCATCCTCACCTATCAACACTTACTAGCGCCTCGCCTGCGTATACCGACAGCGCAGGCGAGGTTACTATTCCATTATCGTCCATTAAACGAACATCTAAAACACCCAAACTGAAGATAATTGAGAAAAGTTCATTTCTTAAATTGCTCCGACCGAGAATCAAATCCGGGACTTAAATTAACTCAAAGTAACGTGCCTACCACTGCGCCACGGAGGTTATCACTGCCGTTTCCTTTCTAATACAATTTCAATCAAGTTCAAGTTCAAAGAACAGTGTTAAAACGGCCACTTTGGTTAATTCATTCTCATTCAAATACCAACTCGGGATTACACTAACGAACTAATGTACACGAGTTTATTTATATATTTATTTACACTTTATTGTATACATGTATGTATGTATACTCGGTCAGTAAAAATAACCCGATCACGCGGACGAAATCGGGGATCAAAATTAGTATTAAATAATATACAATTGGTTTGGTTTTTGTGTTTGTTTATCCATAGTTCAATTTCCTAGAAATATATAGCTCTTTATATACAGTTATGTAGTTATTTTAACTTAACCAATGCTCTCTCTTACTCAAGATGATTTATGACACAATACAAAGACTTTTTTTAATTGAATACATTAAGATATTATATTCCGTACTCATTAAATTCCGAAATTAAAGTTATTGTATTTTTTTTTAGTAATTTACAAAAATATATATATATTTTAATATGTTTTAATGTTTTATTTCTATATTTCTATTTTTTTTTAATTAAAATACAGTTTAATTGACAGTTTAGCGAAGTTTACAGTGTGCAAAGAATCAGATAAATCTGTTTTCACTAAATCCTTTTAAATTATTGTTGTTATAAATGTAAAAATGTGCTTGTTAGTACATTTGTTTGTTTGTTACCTCATGGAGGTTTAATGGCTTATTTAAAATTAATGCAATTTGATAGGTTTATTACTATTTAATAATAGTAATGCATTCGAGTATTCTGACACTTCCCTATGGTTGACTGGGAGAGAATGCTTTTAGCATTAAGTCCGCCATGTACACATACATGTTTTTTTTTTTATTATTTCTGCAATTAACTGTACATTGCTGGACATTTTCTATAACAGGAGTTTTACCAGTGGTTGTCACGCTTGCCAGGCGGGTTGGCAACTACAGTTAGGTTTTAGAGATGTTTTAAGAGGGAGGATGCTGCTCATCTCTCGCCCTCCCTTAGTGGCCTCTTACGACACCCACGGGAAAGGAAGGGGTGGTCCATTCTATGCCTACTACACTACTAGGACTACACGGGAGACTTTGTACAAAAGTCGATTGCTTGGGTACCTCTGTCCCATTCGTGTTTCTACCGTGAAGCAGTTGTCTGGGTCCTCAGGAATGGCAACGCATGAGGGGTATCATGGGTGAAACAGTATACTCTGTTATGACCATGGTACTGCTCATGTCTATAGGCGACGGTTACCACTTTCCATCAGGTGGGCCGTCCACCTTGTTTGCCATTCTAAGTTGTATAAAAAAAAACATACCTGTACTGATGAATAAATAAATAAAATAAAAAATAGGTATGTATTGTCACAGATAATATAATACCATACTAGTATTATGAATAGATAAGGTTGTAGGCCTCAATTTTGATTAATTAATATTTGTTTTTGTATGCGAAATAGTTGATAATAATTGCAAATACCGCCACGGGTAATTACACTAGTAAATACAATAATGTGCATAATACATGTATACATATGTAATTTACTTATTTTACAGTTATTGATTCCGAAAATCCGGCATGCAAGCAAACAAGCACCAAGGCTGCGGGGTTAATAAACGAGAAATCAGCTATGACGACAGTAGAAATTTAATACATCGTCATATATATGATTATATGTATATTTTGTTTATAAAATAAAATATGACCAAAAAGGAAATTTATCTTGCAAGAAACGAAAGTCCAAAAGAAGGATCTATAGTCTATTATAAGTAAAATTTTATAAAAATTTAAATAAACAAATAATTGAATCGACCGTAAGATAATCTGCTAATATCATTATCATAGTAGCTTCTAACTGTCCACTATTAAACATAGGTCATCTCCTTTAGGGGGGTTTGCCAGTAGTTGTCACGCATGGCAAGAGAGTTGGCAACAGCAGTTAATCTTTGGTGGTGTTTCAATAGGGACGCTGCTGCCCATAACTCGACCATTAAGTTCCGTTAGTCGCCTCTTATCACATTTTTTTTTATACAACTTGGAATGGCAAACAAGCTGACGGCCCACCTGATGGAAAGTGGTAACCGTCGCCTATAGACATGAGCGGTGCCATGGATATAACAGAGTATACTGTTTCGCCCATGATAACTCCAATGCGTTGCCATTCCTGAGTACTCAGGTGTTATTCCTCTGTACCTTGTAAATTCACGCCGTATCCCACCCTTCATACCGAAACACAGTCATGCAAACACAACTGCTTCACGGTAGAAACACGAATGGGACAGAGGTACCGAAGCAATCGACTTATGTACAAAGTCTCCCTCTGGTGACGGGAGAGGAACGGGAAAGGAACGAGTGGCCTATTCTATGCCGGGACCACACGGGATTTGTAGTATAAAACAAAAAATGATCGAATGTTTTGATTTATTATTAATTTCATATGTGTATTTCTCTAATAATTTTATTAAAACTTGCTCACATTTTCCTTAAGTTCCATTTAAAAAATATTATAAATTCGTCTATATTTGTTATGCTATGTTACACGATTACACTGCTAATTCTACCAGAATTGATAATTATTTTTTAAATCCTGATCTAATATTAACAGAAGAAAAAAAACTAAATATAAAACAAATAAAAATTTTAAATAATTGATACTGATTTAGCTGCTCAAATAAGAACAGTATTATCAATCATAAAATGCGATTAACACAGGAGTGAAGTGAATCTATGTAAATATAATCAAATTCGATTTAGTATTGGCGACATCTTTACATCAAAAATATAAAAAATGGATTATTTTGTAAGAAATATTTGAAAACTTACATTTGGAGTATAGCATTATATGGGTGTGAACAATGACGCAAAAGGAAAGAAAGATGCTTGAAGCATTCGAAATGTGGACATGGAGGAGAATGGAAAGGATAAACTGGACAGAAAAAGTAACGAACGAAGAAGTCTTCAAAGGGTAAATAACAAAAGAACATTAATAAAAACAATAGAGAATAGAAGAGGCAAAATGCTGGGCCACCTTATATAACATGAGGATTTTTTAAAGAGCATAGTAGAAGGAAAAATAGAGGGCAAAAGAGGAAGGGGAAAACCGAGAAATAACTACATGGGACAGATAAAGGAAACACTAGATGTCATGTCGTATAGGGAGGTCAGAGATATGACCTGAAATAGAGCTGGCTGGAATAATATGCATGAATTAGTAGCACCGACAAGAGGAAACTCTTAAATGAAAAATAAAAGAAGATGCGTATTATGATGACAACAAAAAAAATTTCGTTTTGTTGTCATTTAGTTATTTTAAAACGCGGACGATTCCTTATTGGCTATAATTATGTTTGTATTTATATTACTTAGAAGATACAAGTAAGTATGCGGTGTTCGTAACTTGTTCTTCACCTTCAAATGCAATTGCAAGACCGGTTCTTTATTCTTGCATACATGAAATAGTTTACGAAAGTATACAATTACATTATTTAAATCTTAACTTCTTTTGTATTATCCTATGCCACTACTGCTTTCTTCATTTGGAGTGACGGTGATGAATAGTTTATTTTTTCTTTGAAAGAAAAATATTGTGAGTGTATTGAAAATATTAAACAAATTGTAACAATACAAACACTATTATGTACATTGTTTACAAAACAATATGATGTATATTGTTGATACTCCTGGTAGTAAATAGATAAGTTCTCTTTAAAAAATGAATGCATTTATGTATGCGTGTGTACTGTTATGTCCATGGTACTGCTCATGTCTATAGGCGACGGTTACCACTTTCCATCCACCCACCCACGGGAAAGGAAGGGGTAGCCAATTTTATGCCCCAATTAATGATATTATACCAAATAGAAAGTCATAAAATTAAGATCAGAAATATAAAATACTGTTAAGTAACAAATGAATTAATTTAAAAAGAAGATATACTTACGTAAACATCATAAGAGTATGTATACTGCGGGTAAGGATTGTGATAGTCGCGTACTCTCTCGCTGCGGTCCCTCGCATAGTGAGCCAGGTTCAAAGGATTCGCTTTCACTAACTGTATTTTCCGCACTCTAAATGGTTCGAATCCTAGACTTCTTACCAACGTACCTTTACCGTAATCATGATATACCTTCTTTGGTAATTCAGAAGTCCTGAACGAGTATGGTAGTGTTCTATACTTGATAGGATCCTGCTCTGTAGACAAGAATGGCTTCTGAGACTCGAACAGTTTCTCTGTGCCGATGTATTTCTCATAATCTGGAAGTTTCGTATCAGGATCGTTGATGTAGCCGACAAGGGCTTCCTCCAATGTCTTATAAGTCTTATAAGCGACTTCCTGACCTTTTGATCCTGGGCCGGTGTCGTCATATTTGTTTTCTATGGCGAATCGTATTTGCGCGTTGCTAGCGGCTGAGTATTTGGAGTACGGTTCAAATTCGTTGGTATTGATGCCCGCAGTGCATGCAAAGAGAAGGGGTATCTGCAAAAATGCACATATGGATTTTCAATAAATCTGTTAAAAAGTCTGGGAAAAAGATTGGAACATAACTCTTAACGCGGTAACAATTTTACATAAAGAGGTGGTAACTACATCGGTTACTTTTTTTTTATTTTTCTTTGTCTATGGTTTTGCTGACCTACATGCAATCTGTATAATTGTACTTTTTTCACCAGAGAAACTTTGTACAAAAGTCGTTTGCTTGGGCATCTATGTCCCATTCGTGTTTCTACTGTGAAGCAGTTGTTTGCATGCCTGTGTTTCAGTTTGAAAGGTGGGTATGGCAGTGAATTTATAGGGCACAGAAAAGTAATGTCTGAGCCCTCAGGAATAGCAACGCGGGGATATCATGGGTGAAACAATATACTCTGTTATATCCATGGTACTGCTCATATCTATTGGCGATGTTACCGCTTTCCATCAGGTGGGCCGTCAGCTAGTTTGCTATTCTAAGTTAAGTTGCATAAAAAAAAAAAACTTTTGCCCTATGTATTTTTGTTACCAAGCAGCTATTTGCATAGCTATGTTCCGTTATAAAGGGTGGCATATGGCAGTGAATTTACTAGGTTTAGAAGGTACCATTGGTGTCTCTTATGTTCTATATGGCCATGGAACTATTTACATCAATAGGTGACAGTTATCACTTTCTATAAAAATATATACAATTACATTGGGAAACTACGTACATATCTGCATATTGCTAAATGTGATAGGGGGCTTTAACAGTCAAAGAATAATTTAAGTGCTTAACTAGCTTAAGAACTGGTTTGGCTTAAGCCTGCAATTTTTGCTGTTGCAAAGTGTCTGCAATTATGAATGAATAATTCTATACAAAGCAATTATGTTCAATTAATAGTAATTTATAAGCAATTTATTAGTTTTCGGAAAATGTGTACAAAATTTTGAATAAGATTAATTTTTTTTATACAACTTAGAATGGCAAACAAGCTGACGGCCCACCTGATGGAAAGTGGTAACAGTCGCCTATAGACATGAGCAGTACCATGGACATAACAGAGTATACTGTTTTGCCCATGATACCCCCCATGCGTTGCCATTCCTCCGTACCCAGTAAATTCACGCCATATCCCACCCTTCAAACCGAAACACAGCCATGCAAACACAACTGCTTAACGGTTGAAACATGAATGGGACAGAGGTACCCAAGCAAACGAATGTTGCTCAAAGTCTCCCTGACTTATTTATTCATTAACAATTGTTTAGTTAAAAAGGACAAGTTCAAATCCATAGTCGTCTCAACTAAAAGCGTGTATGGCACAATTGGTACTGCAGGAATCCAAAAATTACCGTAACCGTTTACCATTCGGCGAGATGTATGTTTGTTTATTATCATACTACTTAGTATAAAAAAAGCATTTTTTTTATATTACTTAGAATAGCAAACAAGCTGACGGCCCACCTGGTGGAAAGAGGTAACCGTCGCCTATAGACATGAGCAGTACCATGGACATAATAGAGTATACTGTTTCGCCCATGATACCCCCCATGCGTTGCCATTCCTGAGGACTCAGGTGTTATTCCTCTGTACCCAGTAAATTCACACATTCACACATTCACACCCTTCAAACCGAAACACAGCCATGCAAACACAACTGCTTCACGGTTAAAACACGAATGGGACAGAGGTACCCAAGCAATCGACTTTTGTACAAAGTCTCCCTCTGGTAATTGTGATTGTAATCTGGTAGCGCAAGTTGAATATGTAAAAAAGAGATATAATTAGAATAAATGCAGTGGGAATGCGAACAGTGCGCGGAATTTGTGGAATAAGGTTGACGGATCGAAATCATAATGCAATACGATAATGCAAGACTGCTTCAAAAGAAAATATTAATGTAGACTTGAGAAAGAGCATTACATTTTCTGCTATAACACTGTATTCGTACAAAATGAATGTCGGATGAAAGGTAGACGGTATAGATATACCAGAAGAAAGTGAAAGGATGCAAGCACCGACGGGAGCCTAGAATAACCTATAATGATCATTGAAACCGTATGATTGGAGGGACAGTTTAATCTTCGGTACCGGCTTGTATTAGTGTGAAAGTGCATCAAGTAAAAGAGTGAAATAAGAACTGTTTGTTAGGTATTAGAACTCTTTGGCATTAGGCTTCTTGCCTATTTCGCAAAGATCTTAGATTTAGGATAAATAGTTTTTTTTATACAACTTAAAATAGCAAACAAGCTGACGGCCCACCTGATGGAAAGTGGTAACCGTCGCCTATAGACATGAGCAGTACCATGGACATAACAGAGTATACTGTTTCGCCCATGATATCCTCCATGCGTTGCCATTCCTGAGGACTTAGGTGTTATTCCTCTGTACCCAGTAAATTCATGCCATATCCCACCCTTCAAACCGAAACACAGCCATGCAAACGCAACTGCTTCACGGTTGAAACACGAATGGGACAGAGATACCCAAGCAATCAACTTTTGTACAAACTCTCCCTCTGGTAAATGAATCTTTGAAATGATTTTGGCTTAAAATAAAAATACCTACAATAAGTAAATACATACTTTTTGAATGCAATGTTTGAAAGAATAAAATTTGAGTTTAATTAGAAATTATGCTGTGTGGTCCGGGCATCAAATAGGCCACCCCTTCTTTTTCCATAGGTGTCGTAACAGGCGACTAAAGGAGGGCTAGGGATGGGCAGCAGCGTCCGTCTTAAAAAAATCTCTAAAACTTGACTACAGGTGCCAGTAGTTGCCACGCTTGGCAAACGGATTGGCAAACTCCCTAAGGAGGAAGCTTAAGTTCAGCAGTGGAAAGTGAAAGGCTGATATGATGATGATGAATTAGAAACTTTTACCAGAGGGAAACTTTGTACAAAAGTCGTTTGCTTGGGTACCTCTGCCCCATCCATGTTTCAACCGTAAAGCAATTGTGTTTGCATGGCCGTGTTTCAGTTTGAAGAGTGGGATATGGCGTGAATTTACAAGGTACAGAGGAATAATACCCGAGTTCTCAGGAATGGCAACGCATGCGGGGTATCATGGGCGAAACAGTATACTCTGTTATGTCCATGGTACTGCTCGTGTCTATAGGCTACGGTTACCACTTTTCATCAGCTGGGTCGTCAGCTTGTTTGCCATTCTAAGTTGTATAAAAAAAAACTATCATCTCAACGAGTTTATTAAATAATATACATATGGTAAAGTCACGTAAGTTCAGGTAATGAGTTGTTTTTTAGGAAATTTTTACTAGTTAAAATGCAAAATTAAGCATATAGTTGTTGGTGCTTAGTTATGTAACGGTAGTGTTTGTATCTATGTATAATGATTCTGTTTCACTGTTACTTGGACGTGATGTGAATATATTTTATAGCATGCAGTCTTACGTTGTTCTAATGTACCATAATAACCATTTATGTATTCTCTTAATACCCTTTTAGAATTTCGTGTATAGAATATAAAAGGCAAAATTTATTTTGAATATAAAAGAGTAGGAAGTTTTTATTTTATGGGTGTGCGTGTGTGCATGTGTGTGTGTGTGCGCGCGCGTGTGTGCGCGTGTGAGTGCGCGCGCGCGCGCGCGCGCGTGTGTGTGTGTGTGTGTGTGCGCGCGCGCGTGTGAGCCTGTGTGTGCGTGCGTGGGTGTGCGTGTGTGTGTGTGTGTGTGTATGTGTGTATGTGTGCTATTTTAATCATGTTATCAAATTCAAAATTGCTGTTTTTTTTTGTATTTTGTAAAGCAAAATTTTATTTTTGTATTAATTTTTTTCAACCGATTTCAAAAAAGATTCTCAATTTGATTGTATTTTTTTGTCTATCTTGCTTCATAAGTCCGTTATTTATAAACCGATTTGGAAAATTATATTGTTATACAAAGGATATATTTTCAGATTCACCTTATGGAAATCAGTTTACTAGTTTTGAAATAAAATACCTGGTTATGCCATGAATAAAGCAATTTTTTTAGTGGAATAAAATATTAAGTAATTGGCTTAATAACACTACATAAATTACTAATTGTAATTATTAACCTGCTATATTATTTGAGGCCTGTAAAATCGAAGGCAGCTAAACGCCATAAAATCGATGTCATTTTCACTCTGTACTCAAATATTTCTCGTAATTAAAAGTTCTACTAATTATAATTCAAATTATTACTTATAATCTAATTTTCTTCAATCTGGTTTCAAATATAGAATAACGTTGCATATTCTTGACTAAAATATTAGTTTTTGTAGTTTCCTGAACATTTACCAGAGGGAGACTTTGTACAAAAGTCGATTGCTTGAGTACCTCCGTCCCATTCGTGTTTCAACCGTGAAGCAGTTGTGTTTGCATGGCTGTGTTTCGGTTTGAAGGGTGAGATATGGCGTGAATTTACTGGGTACAGAGGAACAACACCTGAGTCCTCAGGAATGGCAACGCATGGGGGGTATCATGGGCGAAACAGTATACTCTGTTATGTCCATGGTACTGCTCATGTCTATAATTCATCATACATATACATGTACATCAGGTGGGTCAGCTTGTTTGCCATTCTAAGTTGTATAAAAAAAAATTGACAGTGTTGGGTTTAGCTATCTTTGATTTTATAAGTATAAATAATATAACTCATTTATTATATTATATCATATATATATATATATATATATATATATATATATATATATATATATATATATATATATATATATATATATATATATATATATATATGTTTCGACATCCTTTTCTAATTCCGTTATCCATTCGTACTAATATATACCCATTAACTTATTAACAACTCCAATTCAAATTTTCGCGCCGACCGGCGACCTCTGTGTTTGAATGTTAAACGAAAAATATCATTATGGTGGTCGCTAGTACCTGAGCTTGTGTCGCTCATACTCTAGGCGAAAAAAGACTAGAAAATCTGTGGAAATTCGCGTGCCTGTTACTTGCTAATTGTGACCCTAACCAGTGTTGGTGTGTGGAAAAGGAGTCAAAGCCATAGGGTGCACCCA